ATCACAGCATAAAAATCAATTCCAAACGCGTGTGCAAAGAGCAAACAGACAGCGCCAGTCGAGAGTCTGTCGAGAGGCGCACACATTTTTCCCAGTCCCCTGTTTCAATGCGCCCTGCTTTCAGCTCCCTACTCCTGATGTTACCCCGACTTGTCCAATTCTTCGTTCCACACAAAAATGTCACACATTTGTTAAACATTCGCGAGTCTGCACGAGCTGCACCCCTGTTCACCATCTGAACCACCGTCCCCTTGCCTGGGGCATCAGCAATATAAACAACACTGTGCTGCCAAATTGTGGCCCGGAAAAATCAGCATGCAAATAAAATAAAAATAAAGCATGCAATGACCAGAATAAAAATAAAACAAATAAAAAAAAAAGGATATTGGCAGCTATGAAAATACCCTAGACGCGCAAATAATGTACGTACATAACAATATTTTCTGCATACCCTGCAATCGTCGGGTGTGTAAATAGGGCATGCCTGAAGGCTTGCAAGTATATGTGGAGAGAGGGGCTTCTTAGTTATATTTTTCAGTTATAATTGTTAATTATTCTTAAAAAGGATTATTTATATTACATTTTAATGAATCATGAATGTCATGCAACAGATAACTTCAAGTAGGCTGTAGACTGTATAGTCAGGAGAAACAGTTTATAGAGATAACATAATTCCAAATTCCGATCCATTCGAATTCAATATACCCCTCAATGAAGAATTCAAGGGTATCTGACGCTAAAATCATAAATAGCTTAAAACCAAGCCACCGCCTGCCAGGAGCCGGGCACTGTTTGCATTGGGCGGCAGCTCCTAGCGGTGACGATGGCTGCCGAGGCGCAAATAGGCTGTCAGTTACATACCAGAGAGCCCCATTACCCGTCCCCGCCCCCATACACGTGTGTGTAGGCGCATTAATGTAGCCAGCAAAACAAAAAAAAAAGAATTTGTTGTAGGCAAGCACCAAAAAAAATAGCGCTGAGAAAAAAATTGAAATGCTTTTTGTGATTTATGGGAATGTGTTGCGTAGCCCGGAGATTTGGTATAAATGTGTCCCCTCTCTCTCTCCATCTCTCTGCCTCTCTGCCTTACTCGCTGTCGCCATCTGCCTCTCGCCCTCCCACCCTCTGTCAATGTCACACACAAAAATGTTTTACAAGCAATTTTCCAGCTTTTCTTTTTATGTGTGTTTGTGCATTCGTTTAACTATTTGGGCATAAAATATGACGACCCCAGCACGATATGGAGAACCGCTCGAGAGCCGCCCGTTACCGGTTCCCCAAGTTCCCCAAATTGCTGACACTTTATGGCCACGCCATGGCCGGGTGGCCAGGCCATGTGTCCTTGCGGCTGCTTTGTTCGCCTCTCCTGTGAAGCCTTCTGGATAAATGGGCGCGCGTATATGGAATATTTTTGTTTTTTATAGTCAGCTGACAATTTTTTGTCGTTCATGGCAAAATATTTTCGTAGGTGCTTAGTTGTAAGTACAGTGAGGACTGACAGCTAACGATTCGATAATAGTCAGTTAATATAGAGAAATCAAATTGTACATCTTATTTTCGCTTATTGAGGTAGAGCCAAATGAGCCAAGCACCAAGACAGCTAAAGTTCTTGCACAAATTGATATTTCTTTAACATTTGGAACAGTGAAATTACTCTATAACGTACTTCGCTGGTAAATCTATTTGGCGCTCCACAAGTTCAACTTGTTTTTTTTTTTGCGTCTCTCACTTGAAGCTGTCAAGAAAGAAAGAGAAAAAAGCCCACCTCTTTTAGATGCTCCCACTGCTGTCTCGCCATTCGCAGACGTCAATCCCAAGTGGCCCTTGTCGCAGATTTTAACAACTTTATTGATGAGTCGCCGCTGCGTCGATCTCTCGGCGAAGTGTCCGCCAAGCCCCAAAAGCGCTTCGTGCCACTTGTAAGCAATTTCAACTGTCAATTTTTGCTAGCAACAATTTGTTGTTGCTGTGAAATCTGAATATGAGCATAAATAAATGCCGAAAAGTAAAAAACACAAAAACTAGAAAAGTGGTTGTCCCCTTGGCAAGCCGGAAAAAAATACACTTCTATTCAACTTGAGGTAATAGGGGATACTTTTATTCTAGGAGTTTGTTGAAATTATCTTGAACTACAACCGAATTGTAATTGATTCTTCCTATAAATTTCTTCCTATATGTTATGCTCATCCCATGGTATATCAAATATATTATAGAGCATATATGTTTTCTAGTAAGAACTTTTCACATATCTTGTTTCTATTAAAACTATATGATATACTAGTCCGATTCGGTAGATTCCCATATGTGCATTTGATACTGAAAGACTAGCTTAGCAAAACAGTTGGATCCAGAATAGATATATCATTAAGTGGGCTTGGAGGTGTTGCACATTTTATGAGAAAACAATAATACCCGGTGCAAGCGTATAACAATAAACTGCTGAGGTTGACACCCAAACGGCTCTAATAACTCAACCCGGCTTGGCCGCAGCGTGGACTCAATGCCTTTTGGAATTTGTAATGGAAACTTGTTCTGCGGCTTGGCAAAGCAGCAGCAACAACAACAAGAAAAGCAGCAGCAGCTGCTAGATGTGGATTGTGACTGTGTCAAGCTGCGCCCAATGTGGCTGCAATCTATTGCTGAGTTGGCGCAAAACAAAAAATGTGGCGAAGTCAAACAAGTCACAGAGTAGAAAAGATTGACAGACATGCAGTCACAGCCGAAACAGTCGAAACATCTCCCACAGCTATGTCAATTGTCCTAAAGTGGCGCTAAGCGATTTGCTCGGCTCGACGGCCAAGCCGGTGTCCCACTGCAAATCCGTCACCAACTGTGCGAACTGTCAGTCGGAGTGTTCCCCTAGCAAATCAATTTGCTCGGTCTGCTGTAGACGGAGCGGCTTTGCATAATTTATATGAGCGGGCCTATGGCCACAAATAATTTTCGCAATTGGCTAGCGGAGGGAGCAGCGGCACAGAACACACAAAAAACATTTTCAACAGTGGGTGGAGCTGTGAATATTGGCCATAAAATTTATGCCCTGAGATAATAACACAAGCGGCAAGTCGTTATGGCCTGCCCGGCAGCCCAGGCAACAAGGCATCCAGTTAGCCAGGCGAACGACCACAAGGAGGATGGCTAAAAATAAAATTATTGCCTCGCCAAACTCGTCTCGAGATGCAAAGCCAGCGATAGAAGCTAAGGTTGAAGTTGATTCGGATGTTGTGCCTGCTCGCCCGCTGCCTGTCTGTGGTTGGCGAGTTGTGGTCCAGGTGGTGACTGCAGCAGCAGGCCCGAACCACTTGGCCAATTATGCGGCCCTCTTCTGTTTTCGACTCTATTCGCTTGCAAGCCCTTTTTTTTATTATCATAAGCCAAGACTAAAACGGGGTATATCTTATGGCGAAGCGATACAAAGTGTTTATATATATATATGTTTCCAATGTTATGCGAAGAGCAAAAGATATTTGGCAGCGGTAGGTTTAAGCTAATGGGTGTTCTCGAAGAATTTCTCGAGACATAACAACATGCATAATTATGCAGAGGAACCACTTACTTTTTATTTGTTTGCACTAATGGGAATATTTTCTTAATTCAAATAATTCTAAACTTGCTACGAGACATTACAAAATGCATACTTCCGCCGGGAATTTGAACCACTAACTTTTTGCTTCATTGCCCTAAGCTCCATTCTTCTAAGAAGCTTAGAGAGAAATATATTTTCTTAAAGCAAAGACTTTAAAACTGCCTGCTATGAGGCATTACAATATGCCTGCCTTCCTGGGAATTCGAATCTGTGACAAGCTTCTGCCAGCTCTTGAAACAAGCTCGTTTTGAACGCTTTGTTTGCGTATGTACAGAGCATCTGTCGAGTCTATCAGAGCCAAGCTGCATTTGCAGTCTTTGTTTTCAGCCTGGTGCAACAACATTTGGTTGCCAACTTTGCTGTTGATACACACAGCGATTAGGCTGTGGTCTACTCTTGTTGAATTCACGTTGGCTCCTCGTTGCTGGTCTTCTTGGTCTGTTTGTGTGTTTGGCTTTGGCTTCGTTTGTAAATATGCCCAGTTTGTGTTGGAATCATAGACGGTAGCTCGACAACAACAAGAACGACAACGACAACTACAAAACACGGAATCACATCCTTTGGGTTGCGAGCTGCTGCTGTTGCTGATGCTGCTGCTGCTGCTTAGTTGTCCGTTGCCAGGTCTCTGTTACTGGTTGTCTTGGGCTCCGTATTGCCGGCAGCTCATTTGGCTCTTGTGTTGTTATTGCCCTTCGGTAGACAACATTGGACAACAGCGAGCCACAAGCTCATCGTCATCATCGTACTCGTCATTGGCCAGCTGAGGGCTGTTCAGGTGTCCCATCAACTGTTTCTCCCCCTTTGGAACAGGTACAGACTGTTTGGCATGCTAATATGCAAACAGTGCTGCCAACTTAATGAAATTGAAATGAGCAAATTAGTGATGTTTGGCTATGTGCAACAAGGGAACAGACCAGAGCCCTACAACCGGCTCATTCGCTTGGTTAGTGCGAATATTTAAAGTCTCCTTCAGTTACCCTAAGCTATAATATGTTGATGGCCCTACAATATCAAAGCTTTCGGGGAATCAGCTTAACTTAATCGTGGATATAGTATAGAAACAGAGAAACTTAACACTCAAATAAATGCATGTATGTATGTTATATGTCTTAGGTATAAGGACTTACCAAGTTTACCTCCTTCTGCGCAGCAAGTTTAAGAAAATACATTAATAACAGCCCTACTCTGCGATTCTCATGAATTCAAGTAGGCATTGATTATAAGTGCAATAAAAATAAGTGGTTAAGGATTACTTCTTGCTGTGCAAAAATTAAATTTGAAAGGAAAATACCCTACTATGCGATTCTCAAATATTGTAGTAAGTCTTTTGCGTTGTCAAGCGTTGATTTTATGTTGTGCTTACGACCTTATAAATTACCTTGACTCTAAATCTCTTTTTCTTTATTTCCTTTAGGAATGTCTATATCTCTTTCCTACTAAGAGATGGCAACAAATTAATCTCGCTTTCAAATTGAAATTTCTGGGTAAGTACATATTTACATCTATATATCAAAAATAAAACACGAATTTAGGTTAAGTCTCATACCTGGGCGCGAGCCATTTCCTAGTATCAAATAAATTTAAACCAGTGGGGTGGATAAATATAGATTCTGCAAAATTAATTAAAGCCGAAAGTTTTCCACTAAGACTTCCCCCTTGTGGATGTACAAAACCCCTTCAATATGCCTTGAGCCTTCTAAACGCTTAAGGATGCGACTTCAAGAAGTATTAAAAGAAATTAAATGCTCTGGCATGAGAGTGCATATGCAAGTGTGTGTGTGCAGTAGCCAGCTAAGATAGATTAATAGAAGTACATTCATCAAGTAGCCATCGATAAAGAACGGGCATTCAAAGAGACAGTTAAACTAATAGCCAACAAAAAATTCAAAACGCAAACCATTGAAAATAACGTTCGCCCAATGCAAGCTAGTCAGCCAGCCTGAATGCCAAGCCCCATAAATCTCGACCCAAACTTCGTGTTTGGTCAACTCGCCAGCTGCTGCAATGTGCGCTAAAAACTAGTCTAGCCATTGGAGCAACCAATAAAAATGATTCTTTCACACAACAAGAGAAAGACAAAAAAAAAAAAAAAACAAAAAAAAAAAAAACAGAAAAACAAAAATGAAGAAGGAAACCCACATGTCATGGACTACACTTCAAAGCACTAGACGCTCCCAAACCCCCAACTTGAACTCCAGTTTCTGATAGATACAAACGACTTTATGACGATACAAAAGAATGATGATGATTTGCAAAAAGCACGAAGAGAGAAGAGCATACTGAATGGCAGCCAGATACCGTCTGCTGGGCTCGGCTGGGTATTGTGGGCCCGTCCGGGCGGCCCGTCATTGAATTGGCTGTGCAAACGTTTGATAAATTGATGAATTGCAATGCTCAAGTGGCAATAGTTTAGCGAACAGTCAGACTCTGGTCGAACTAGCGATCGATAATGTGACCAGGCCTAGGAGAGGGACTCCGACAACGACTCCGACTGGCGGACGGTGCACTGAGATTGGGAAGTGGTAGCTGGAGTGGCACACAACTCATTAGTTCATCAGTCACTCGAGTTTCTGTGTTTTGTTTACCAAAGTTTAGCATAAAAAAAATGAAACAGTCATGGCCCAGAGTCGTCGAGGAAATATATTTTTTCTTCTTGTTTATGCTCGTTGCGTTTCTCGTTTACCGGGAAGAGCTCATAAAAATTTATGTTAATTTCGTTTAGAGCTGCAATCTGCGACTGCATTCGTAATGAGACGAGTCGGGCTAAGTAAACAGGGACTGTAGCACAGCTTCGCATAGTGTAGGAATTCAAAATTGAAATAATGATTAACAGGCAAATGTATAATAGAAGAAGCTACGGCGTAGGGTAGTGGGGACTTGATCCGCCTACACGGGAAATTTTTCTAGACACGGTGCACTTCATGCAACAATTGAAAACTTCTACGAAAATGCCGTTGTGAAAATACAGCGTAAACATTTAAGATAAACAGCCCCAAAGTGAAGTGAAGTGAGGCTGGGGCCCCAACGTGAGCTCTACAAATTAACTGCAAGCGGAGACAACGCGTCGTATGCGCAACGTGCCGGCCTGACTCGCACAATTTGTTTATTTATTTGTATTTATTTTCCAGTCAATATAAACTATGTGAATTTTTACTGTACATAAAATGAGTAGAATGCCCAGACAACTAGACATGGTAATAATAACAACAATGCCAACGTCAACCCAAGACACAGAGCGCACATCGGACCAAGTAAATATAAATCAAATGCAACCGAGCAGCTGCCATCGGCATCGGAATGGGCCGTATGGGCAGCCAGAGTGGAGTTAGATGAAGTTTCCATGGAAATGCCAGCCAAGCCGTGAACTTCAAAATAAACAATATGATGAGCATGAGCATGAGTGTGTGTGTGTGTGTAAGTATGTGGAGCTGATGACTGAAGGAAAATAGAAAATATATTGCAGCATAAATGTGAATCATGAATGGAATATTTGTGTTGGCAAAAGCTAGAAATGTGGGACACAAATGCGATTAAGTTTTGCAAAGTTTTCTCTCAACTGTATTCAAATTTCTAGCAGTTAATCTAGCGGAAAGTTGTGATGCCAAGGTGCAGGTGCAATATTTAAACTAAGCCCATTGCAACCATGATCATCCGCTTCGAAGTCTGGCAAATTCCCGCACTTTTTGTGACTCAAGTCAAAGTCATTTGCCAGCAACATGGCAACAAAACACAGCTCATCAACACCTTTAGTCAGCCATTTTGTTAGCTTGGCTTGGATGGCAAAGAGAGAGCGGGAGATGGTGGGCTGGGGGTAGTGGAAGCGCTAGAGCAAATACGCAAAACCATTGCACACTAAATCCACTTAAATTAATTGCAAAAGGTGATTACGTTGCTGTTTTGCCTGTATCCGGCTCCTGGCAGCAAACAGGCAGAGCCAGCGCTGGCAGACAGCTGAGAAATGGAAGCCAGGGCGCCGAGCATTCAGCAGGATATGCAACTGCCATGGCCACGCCCACACCCACATCCACAGGCCACGGGCAGGTTATCAAGAAGCTGCACGCGGAACGGTATTTCTCAACTGCCAGGGGCCAGAGGCACACGGGCAAACACCTTGGCTATGGCAATGACTGCAACTGCTGCCGCGGGGTAGGCAAGTGCTCAGTCGAGTTCTTGGCTGCCTGGCTGCTTGGCTGCTTGGCTGCTAGGATCCTGGTTCCTGGCTCCTTTGCTGCCGAGTGTTTGCGCATATCTTATAGAGGCAGAGCAACTGTCGCTTCATTTTTGCAAAGTAATTTGCAAAAGAGCCAACACAAGGCGCAGCAGCGGCGAGAAAGCTGAAAGCAAGTGCCGCCAAAGCGCAGTCAAGGATGAAACAGCAACAGCAGAAAGTCTCCAGGTGGAGAGGTGCTGCTAGGTGTTAAGGTGTCGCTGTCATTGCTTGAATGCGTTTATGCGTAGCTGGTTATCAGAATAAGCCCAGAGTTAGCAGTTGATCCGCCTGTGGCAAAAAGAGCGGCCTTTATTGATATGAACTGCGCAAAATTTACATCTTTTAGTTCAAAGCCAACAATTGACGGGACAAAGTCCAATTTTTAGCTTTAAGGTCCTCAACCCATTAGCAGTGTTGAAAAATGCTGACAGAATAAATCGATAGCTTGAAATGTTTAGATTAGTTTAGTTATCGAATTAAAGTTTCCGTTACCTTCGATTATTTCTGTGTTGATACAGCAACATAATTATACTTTGCTTGTAATTGAAAATTAAAATTTTAATACAGGGCTCTAAACCCTTTAAAAAAAATTAGTCGCTGGTTCAAACCAACAACTTGCCCTTTTAGTTCTTGTAGCTGGGTTGCCTCAAATTTTGGTGAATTTTGCCTGGGTTTCCGTAAATTTTGGTGAATTTTAATATGCTTTTTTTGCGAATTTTCATTGAAATACTTAATTTGTTCTACGTTAACTTTACGCCCTATAATTGCCCCTTGTTCTGAGAATATTGTAAGCCATACATATTTTCATATACAAAATGCGGGCTACATTTGAACCCTGCCCAACAGCTTGGTTTGGTTTAAGCTTCCGTTTTAATAATCAAATAAATTTTTGAAACTCTTCTTGAAGTGATTTAAATGAAACGTAATAAAACTTATTCACATATCATTTAAGCAGAACGATAATATGCCCCATTTGAATGCCCAACTTTCTGAATTCGCAATCATAACTTTGAGCCACGCATAAACACAAATTTGACTCTGTTTTTGCCTGTCGTGCGGCCCTCTCCTTTGCCCTACCTTAAGGTCTATGTGTGTGTATGTGCTTAAAATGTCATTAAAGCCCTGAATGGGCGTGAGCATTGAAAGCAGCGGCTGGCGGGGAATGTGGGCATGGTGGCTGAGAGGGAGGGACGTGCAACTGTAGCGACAGCTCATAAAGACGACAAACGGAGCAGATAAAAGTCTCGAAGATTCAAAGACTCAGCCCCACCGCATATCATATCCGTAATCAGCGCCTCTCCGCCGCAGCCCAGCTTTCCCTGGGCGCACTTTGTGCCTGGATTGAGGGTGGGCAGGGTGCAGGACTGTGTAGCTTCCGTTAAATTTATTGATAATTGATTATTGCTTCGTTAGGTCGCATTTGAGGCGGCATTTGGTGTGCGGTTCAGCCGGATTGGCTCTTTATTGTTGTTGCTGTAGTTGCTGTTGTTGCCATCAGCGTTGTTTGTTGCGTGTTTGTTGTTGCAAATTGAAAATGCAAATTGCTGGGCTGATTTGCCAGCTCCCGATTGCATTGTGGAGCCCGGCACGACTTTTGCCTTTTGATGTGTGCCTCCAAGTTGCCGACGCTTTGGGGAAAAACAAATTTTCATAAATTTTTAAAACAAACACACGGGACATGAAAAACAAAAATGCAGACAAAAAATATACAAACAAATAGCAAGAAGCAGAGCTGCTGTTGGATTTTTACGCCATTTTGTTGCCGCTCTGTTTTTTTGTTGTTGTTGTCGTTGTTGTTGTTGTCGTTGTTTCTGTTGTGAGTTGTTTGTTGTTGTTAGGACGTGCCTATGCGCGCTGCTTTGCTCACCTTTTGAGCTTTTAAATTATTTTCCAAGCACGTAGCCTCGTCGGCTGTTTGCGTATTTAAACGTGCACGGCTATGTGAAGCGCATAGAGAGGCGCGCATCAGAATAAAATAGAATGAGCGATAGAGATAGCTAGCTTAAAAGCATAGGGTGGTGTGAAAAGCGCGTAGAGCGGCGGCTGCTTTGCCCTTAAAAGGATTTGCGCAATTTACGTGCAATGAGGAGGGCTTTTCTCGTCTTTTTTTTTTTTTTTATTTTGCGTGAAGGGTTCGGGATGTTGCTGTTGCCTGCCGTTGTGTTGACAAACAAACAGCGCCGCTGAGTGACGGCCAAGACAGACGAGCAGACAAGCAGCCAGTGGGTGGGCAGGATTCGCAAGGACGGCAGTCGGCGGCTTTGTGTTGACAATGTCCTTGCTGGCACTGTGGAGCCCTTTCATCCCGTGGCGGCTGCTGTACGTGACTTGCATTTATTTTGCGGCCCAAACTGTGAAAAACTCGTTAGTAATTTAGCAGTGAGCCAGAGCCAAACACAGAATGCCCAATAGCCCAATAGCTGGGCCATGTTGCCAAAGCAATCAAATGCTCGTCTATATTCATATGAAGCCCCGAATGCAGCTAACTAAAAATACTAGACGAAAAATTCGGGAGGAAAGCAAACAAACACAAAACTTTCAAACTGCAAATAATTCCATCAACACGCAGTGCCACAAAAAAGCCACAAACTAAAAACCAGAACCGAAAACGGCAATGGCAACGATTGATAGCCACTTGAGTTGCACAAACACATAAAGCTGCCCTCTCTTTCTAACCCTCACCCGCACTCTCCTGGCTTCTCTGCTGTTGCATTCAGTCTTTAGTTTAACCCATTGACATTGCACAGTGCAGCCGAGCACATTGGGCGGGCCGCGCGCTTTTGCACAGTGGGGCACAAAACAGACAGACAAACACAGTGCGAGATTCAAGTGCAGTTGCGAGTACCTAAACCCAAAATTGTGTGGTAACTGTGTGCGGGCAGGAGAGCAGCTGGTGCTGCAACAGAACCAGAAGCAGGAGTAGATGGAGCAGGAGCTGGGTGCTTAGGCTGCTTAATGGCACCCGGCCCAGCGTCGAAAGAGTTATTGAAAATGTTTTATTGTGTGCATTTGATTGCTGTAAGTGTTGAGCTCCCACTGTGTGTGCGGGTGTGTGTGTGTCTGCCTGGTGTCTAACTTATAAATATTTCAATAACATTTGAAGTGCGCCTGGCTGGTGGCTCAATTGGGTATGGATTTTGGACCACCCGCCCGAACCCGGCTCGCCAACAAAACGCAAATGGAAATGCACTTTCCATTGTGTGCGAGTGTCTAGTGCTTTGGCACTCCAAAACTCAACTCTGGCAATGGCCATAGCCACAGCCATACCAATAGCAATGGCACTTGCCATATTTGGATTACCCAAAACCAAACCAAACCAAATGCCCAAATGCAACGCCACCGAGTTGCATGTTTATGCGTAAGCGCTAAACGTGAAAAGTCCAGAATCAAAACTTATTCACCAGAACATACATGATTAATAAAAAAAAAACAATGGGAAAAGAGAAAAGCAATATCCATATTTTATTGTTCAAAAAGGGTTATGGGTATTTTTTGAATAGTCAAATAAAGCATAAGTCATATTTTGACTAATAGGAAAACAATTAGAATTTTAGGGAAGCGAGAATGCATTTCATTTTTATATTTAAATAAAAAATGTTTAAAATAATTTGAAATATTTTCAAACTAATAATGCTTCAGATAGCATTAACGCTTCCCCAATAGCATAATACGCTAAGAAAAATTTTGGCTTTTCCGACGCTGAATAAAATGCACAAAATAAATAAATAAGGAAGTCGAAACGCCTTTCTATTTATTAAAAATTATTTAAAAATAATTTGAAATATTTCCAAACCAAAACTAATTCAAGCAACAAGAAATATCTTTGGCCAAAGAACCTTATGTTGAAAGAGAAAACATTTCAACAAATTCCCATTTATGTAAACATTTCTTTAAATATCTTATGATAAATAGAAAATCATGAATTCGTACATGCATGAACGCGGAATTTTAAACATAGGTTTTGCGTGCATACAACACTTTGGCACGTCCTATGTGGGCATACTTTCAAGCGAGTATGTGTGCGTGTGTGTGTGCGTGTGTGTGTGCGTGTGTGTATGAGTGCAAGTATGTACATGTCCGGGTGTTTTAAAACTTTCTATTGAGTGGCAAAGAGCTTTGGCAACATCTTGTGATGCAATCGCTGCCACACGGCTCAGTGAAGCCTGTGGCATGGCCTACTTTGGAGCACAAAAGCTTAACTCAATTACCAATAGCAGCCGCAGCAGCAGCAGCAAAAGCAGCAGCAGCAGCAGCACTTGCCACACGTGACTAGCCAGGCTGTGTAGAGGGTGGGAGGATTGGTCAGGTGCAACCAAGCTGAGCCGAACCGAACTGACCTGCTTAGCTGGCCAGGCGAGCTGCCAATACCTAATAGCAAATGAGCAGGCGGCATTCGACAAACGTTGGCCAGGTCGAAGGACGCTTTAAGGGTCCAGCAGCCACCTACAAATCCCTTTTCAAAACTCATTAGCACAAATTTGTGCTGCATAGTTGGCCGTTTCTATGGACCTGATTCTGGTTCGAAGTCTGAAGCTACCTTGGCACGCCCCAGCAACTGTGCCGCCTAATTTGGGGCGCAGACAAAATTTATGCTGATTGTGCGGCAATTTACGAAAACTGAGAGCCAAAACTGGAAAATTGCAGCTGCCTCACGTAGCAGCCGCAGCCGCAGCGACAGCTAGAAAAAGCCTAAGAAAAGCAGAACAACAAATTTTCAATGCGGCGCGTTTACAATAAATATAAAGCACTCAGCCTTGAAACAATGACACAACCTTTAACCTTTTTCCGCATCTCTTTTTTCTATGCTGTTATTTTTGCACCCTTGCAGTGGGTATTATAATTTGATCACGAAGCATGAAAGGGAACGATTCGAACTTTATAAATACATATAGTCTGATCAGTATCAGCAGTCGAGTCGGTAGGGACATGCAAACTAGTATTTTACTTTAAAAGAGGTTGATATATATTTTTTTGTACAAAACTTGGCATTTATGCTTTTTAATATGCTCCTTGCATTTGAGCAAAATCTGATCTGTAAAAAATAAGTTTAAAAGGAGTTCTTATGAACAACTTCTCTAGTACAAGCTTCATTTTTCTTTCAACATTAGGCAAATATCCGCAAGGGTATTAAATCTTCGGCTTGAGAAGATATACTTACTCTCTCTGGTTTTTTTGTTATTCATGTTTTCTTTCTCTTTTTGCAGCGCCTGACTTTTGTCTGGTTTATTGAGTGCAGCTACCGAATAACGGTAAGTAACCTTTTCTTAACCTTTTACAACACACACAGTCTATGCAAAGTAGTTCCAGTTAAGTGGGCGGGTTTATGTGTGTATACTTTGTAGGGGTCGCGGAGTTGGCGCTGGTCGGCAAAGTCGTTTGGTTTCCGTTTCCGCCTTTGGCTTTCGCTTTTTCATTTCCGCCTAATAAACTACATAATTAAACTGGCAGCAATGGGATTAAAGGATTCCTGGCCGAGAGTTCCCTACACCAACCCGCCCCCTCCAGCAAGAAGAGTCATGTATATGGTGAATCTTTCGAGCTACTCAGCTGCTGCTCCTGGCACTCGGTTCATGTTGCCCCTGGATGTTTTCGTTCGTGCTGAAGGTCTCACTCCATTAGCCCCAACTTGGCCCCCTCGGCACGATTCAAGTTAAGTTTCGTCGACGAATTAAGCTAAATTAATTTTTGTGCTTTGCTGTTGTTTTTCCTCATGTTGCAGTTGTTGTTGTTGTTGTTGTTGTTGCTTTTGCTAGTTAAGTCCTTTGACTTTTGGCTCGTTTGATACGTTTCTCTACTCGCCCTCCCCCCATCCTCTCTCTATCCCTCACTCTACCGCTCTCTGGTTTGCTTCATATTAAATTAATGATGTGTTTTATGCTGTTCTTGTTCCTGTTGTTGTTGCTATGTCGAAAAAAAATCACTGCAAATGCGATTTAAGAGGCAAAGCGCAACATTAGCAGTAAATAAAATAGGATAATGCGGCAAGTCGACCGCAAAGCGGTGGCTCCCAAAAAAAAGAAAAGAAATCAACTAAGATAAAAAGAAAAGTAAAAGTACAAGCATATAGTCATAAAAATCTTGTCCAAGGGGCATATACGACTCGCAGTTGCACTTTGAGGAATCCAAACTATACAGTTCTATAAAGTTCTGCAAAAATCAAACTTGAAATTAAATTTAGAAAAGATTGTAGTTCATGATTTTGAAATTTTAACAAGAGTTAACAAGAGTTATCATTTTCCTTGCGTCGCTTTTCCGGCCATGTGAAAGTACTTAATAGTTCATATATGAAAAAATATCTTAAATTCAGATTGAAGAGAAAAGACTGAAAATTGGGGATTGCGTTCTGGAAAATTCTTTACATCTTTGTTATATCAATTTGAACAAAAACTCATTACAACTGGGTTGTTACTTAATCTACATATATAACTTAGAACTTGAATTGGAAATAATATTTTCAAACATTGTATAAGAAACAACCTTAAAAAAGTCAACAAATACGCTTGCGCCCAATTTAAGGGCATTTGGCTGTTTGCCCCGGGTATTTGGCAGGAGAACAGCTGCAGCACGGCAAAAGGCAACAGAGGTCGGGGGTCACGGAAGGGCATAGAATACAATGCCAGCTCTATGACAGGCGAAAGGATTATGCGTGCTCCTAATGCCAAGGCGCTCGTTTTTCGCCCGTCCGCTCGTAAGCCCTGCAATTTTTCATGTTAACCCCATTTCGCTGCGGGGCAGAGCAGAACACAACTGGCACGACCGTCACCTGGCCGGAGGCAAGCGGATCACCTGGCTTAAGCGGAACTCAAAACTCGCACAAAACTCTTTTGGCCACAGCGCAGGATGACTTAATATTCAACTGTGATGCGGCCTGCAGCACATAAATACAAACAAATAATCTTTTTCTTGTTGTTGTAAACAATTTGTACGAAATGTTCTTGAGAAAATCAAACCAAAGATGTCGGGTTTGAGTCAATTGTCGATGCGTCTGGGCGCTGTCTCCTACCGACTTACACAAATATTTTGACAAAACGCCTGCTGTTTCCACATAAATATTTATATTTGCCTTGTACAATTGCCACACACACACACACATATACATACACGCGCAGGATACACTACACACTCAGCTCTGTCCGTCTGGCTATCTGAATGCCTGTTTATCGCGGGCCTGGCATCTTTACCTGCAGCGAACATGATACAAGAACCAGCCACCAGCATCTTGTTGGCTCTCCAATGGGCGCGTATCTTTAGCATCTACTCCTCAAACACACACACACACACACACACAGACACATACTGTGGAAGAGTGTGTCATGCGTATACAAATTTCTTGTTGCCTCCTCGGAAATCGAATCCACAAAAATGCAGTTAAATAAATTACAAACGCTCTGTCACCCAGCAGTCGAGGAGGAGTCGGGTTCAGTTCGGGGACTTGAGGTTGGGGCGCATGTCGCGGGATTATCGCACGCCGGGCATCGCCTGGTCACCGATCCTATACACAGAGAGAGGGAGAGTGCGAGAGAGAGGGACTGGTTAGCCAATGATTACGATGATTCTTCTTATACGTAATTTTTCTTCTTTTTTTTTTTTAATGAATATTGTCGTTTGTCGTCTGGGCTCGCAATGCTGCCCCCACCCTCCCTTTACCCTGTGCGCCCCTCATCAAAGACTATGCGTTCTGTATACCCCTTCATCTGCATTTTGCGTGCTAATGAAATAAATGCCTGGACAGCGTTCTCAAGTTACCCAAACATGAGCAATCTGTGACATTGCCACATATGTAGGCATTTATATATATATATAAATGTATATATGTGGATATGTGACAGTGCCTGCAACAGACACAAAATAAAGATACAGAAAGAATTGTATCTTAAGTTATGAGACATACCAGGCACATAAATTCTTCAACGTGTGTGGGTTCAAATGGGTTGGGTAACACACACACACACACACATACTAAAGTGTTATGTTGAAAGAGCAATATTAGCTGGATATATCAAGTGTGGTCCAAGTTAACAATATTTACATAGGCATAACAGTTGGGGAAAATATTAAAAAAAATTGAGAAAAAATATAAAAAAGAAATTCTCTAAAGAAAGAGTTTTCTGTAATGTTTTACTTAGTTAACAGAGTAGTATGTGCTTTAATTTAAGGTGTATGTTTCGCTTTAAGTCGTATTCCTTGGTAAAACATTTTGAGTTAGATATCCCTCGGCTCTATAAAACATTAGACGCTTGCGTGTACAGCTGAGTTTCCAATTATTCTGATGGCGCCTCGCTTTTCTAAGCCCGAGTGCTTGAGCCCTTGCCCAAGTGAATCATGCTTGGTATCCGGTCTAGTGGCAATTGAAATACTTAACGCTTCATCCTTGACAAAAGTTGCCGCCTACTTAATTATTAATTTCGCATTTACCACAAAACGATTATGGGTCGGCTGCAACAGTGCTGTGCTTGGTCGTGGTGGTGGGCAAAGCAATCTCCGAGCTGTCTGTCCGGCCATTTCCTCAATTGCATAAATCGAAAATTTGTGCTCTGGCGCGTGTCACGAATAACCAAAGGAACCAGCCGAACATACAAGAAGACGAAGAAAAAAACTCTTACTCCTAATTTTTGCTGTGCTTTGAGACAATGTGACAAGCTCTGACTGCCGACAAGGATGGAGTCGACCATGTTGTTGCTATTGCCGCAGTCTGTTTGTCACCCAAGTCATTTACATGCTACGTGACTCACATATATTTGTTATGCTGTTATATATATTGAAGCATTCGGTTAGCTTTTGGGGAATGTCAGTGCATGTCTGGGTCTGCCGCTGCGGCGAGCTTGGCTTACATTTGATGAAAATGCGAGCGCTCCGATGTCAATGTGGATATGGCTGTCCATCGGGAATTATGGTCGCTGTTGTCGCCATCGTTGCCGTTGTCTGGCCTCAAGTGAGTCACGCAGCGCATCGATAAAATATTTAAAATTCATTTCTAAGCTTTTAGTAGTCAACGGGCTGTGCTCCACTCGGCGCGGCGCTCTTATCAACGCTTGGGTCGTTCTTCAGCCCGACTATTACTCAAACCCAATCCCAACAGGCCACAGCAACTGCAACGGCAATTGCCGAGATAACCATAAGCCAAAACTGCAAACGTCGACGACGACTACGACGACAGCTTTTGTGCCTCCCAACTGCAGCTCCTTGGCGTATCTTTCAAGTGTGCATTGATTTATGTGCGTGCTAGACGGGAGCGCAACGTTTGTATCTGAAGGTAAATAGAAATACTGGCAACGTTTACCTGGCCCGAGTAGACCCCTCTTCACACATACACAAACACACACAAGCATATAAAAACAACTACAGCCACAACACAGCTCACAGTTGCAATTGCAGTTTATTAGTTTTGCTATTGAATTTCATTTTATTGCATTTCTCAATCTCACCGCGATACGCATTCCATATATCTATCAAATGCCAAAGAGTGTGTGTCTGCGTGTGTGTGTGTATGTGCATAGCCTGTGTGTGCTTTCAGCTCTGATGACTTTTGTCATAAATGTCTCAGCTCTTGAATACGTTTTAGCTAAAGTATATCTGAGTTTTACGCAGATATAGAAAATAAAAAGGAACTTTTGGGAAATTGAATAAATTTTCTAAATAAAATTTTAATAAATATTAAATAAATCTCATAATTAATATCAGTTCAGCCAATCTTGAATATCCGCCTATATTTCCATTTTCATGTTCCTTCTCGTTTTTCCCTTACAGATCTCTCTCTTTCTTTGTATTAATTCCCTTTGTAGCTCTCTTTTTCTCTCCCGTCTCATCCAACTATATTTATTATCGGCCACATTGAGCCTACTCTGCGCGCCTGCTCTATCGTAATTTTTATTTATTATCATATTATAAGTATATATTATTTCTTCAACGAGTGCATTTGCCATGGCCTACGGCTGCCTTTGGCTGGTATTCACTTCAGTTCAATTCTTTTGTTGATTTTTCTAGATTTGAAGCACTGATTGTGCGCGTTTTACAACCGGCTACGCCCCGGCAAGGTGTGAATTGTGAGCAACAATTGCAGTTGCTGTTGTTGTTGCTGTCTGCTGTTGCTGCTGCTCAAGCCATGCCCTAAAGCAATGGCTGGGCTCTTTGCTTTTGATCGACAGCTTGCCTAAAACTGTCAACGCGTTTTTGTCCCCTAGTTTTATGGCGCATTTCTTTCGATTCCCAACGATTTATTTGAGTTGCTGCCGCTTCATGTTTGCACGGT